TGATTAGCTATTCAGGAGGCTTTACAAACAATGCAATAACATGGGAAATGCTTATGTTGTAATGATAAGTTTTAAGAAACCCAAGAGGCAAATTGGCTTATTTTAATCAGGACCCACCCAGTGTCTGGGGATGTGGTCAAGCCCATATAATATTTTTTGTGGGTGGTGTTCCCAGGAAAGAAGGGGAATAGAAGCAGTGAGTATGAGGTATCTCCTGTCACCCGCCACTCTGTCCATCCGATATTAAAGGACTCCCCTCTCTTTCTCAACATGGGCAATCTCAGTAATGTTGACTCACTATCTGAGAGTGCTTCATTTCCCCTGTCCTGGGTCGTGTGCTTCTATGAAGCAGGGTGGGGTGGTGCCATGGCAGGGCCAATTCTACCCCACTTAGTATGTCCTGGAGTGGACATGTAGCACTATTTTCTACTGGCTACTTCAGTACCACAAAGAGCCTAATGTCTCTTTAGCTTCAGATTTGGGCCATAGTCATTTAGAGAGCAACAGGAAACACACGTGTCAGCATCTTCTTAAAAATAAAGTGATTCAGGAGGGTGGAAGACTAACAGTTTCTAATCTAGAGAGCAAAGGAGAAGAAATATTCATCACATACCAAGTGTCAGTGCCCTTCATATATCAGGAAAAAAATCCATTGGAAAAAGACAAGCACATTATAGTGAACACATGTGTTTCCCGACTAGCATCTATTCTCCATCCCTCCTCATACCAGGAACCTGAGCTTCCTTTGGGAAGTCTCTCTTCCCCATAATTCTCAGACTTGAAGTTTACGTGAAATTTATCCAACCCACAGATCCAGGTACGTGCCTTGATTAGCTTAAGCAAATCAGTGAAACCCATCCCCATAACCATAAGGATTGGTTAGGAATTGGGTTTCTGACCTAAGGTCAGTCAAATCTGAAAGAACCTGGTGACTTTTCACCGGGGACACAGGCTCTCTGTCTTCCCTGCAGAAAATCAATAAGGGTTCATGTAACACCGGAAGGTGCCAGCAGCCATCCTGGGACTCCCACCTGGAAGGGAGATCCGAAAACAGGACCTGCACATCCAGCTTTGCCTGGAGGCACGGCAACCCCTGTCCCCTTCAGTCTTGGAACTGCAGGTTCATTTATTCAAGCCTCTGTATGTTGGGTTGGTTTGTTTTCCTCCTTGAAACTACCAGCATCCTGAGAGATACAGTGACTTGTATCTGTGCAGAGGTATGGGGTCTGTTCAAAGTAGCCCCTGACTGAAGTGTGGGATTGGCTGAACTGAAAAGGTAGGAGGGAATTTGGTGAGGACCTTGGTAAATGGAAGTGCTTTTTAAACTTGGGTCTGCGTTGCATCGGAATTACCCAGAGGCTGGTTAAGACACAGATGGCTGGGCACACCCTCTACAAGGGGAGAGGGGCTTACAATCTGCATTTCTAACCCATTCCCAGGTGATGCTCGTGTTGTCGTCTGGGCACCACCTTTTGAGAACTGCTCTTACGTGGTGTTGCCGCTGTTGTTTGAACGTCTGTCGGATCTTGGTGCTAAGACCCTGTGCCAAATAGTAAGGCTGCAACGTTAAGGAGTTTGACAGGAGAGGTTCTGAATCTTGGACTATAATAGCTACTTCTTGCATCCATCAATAGGGTCCTTTAAGAAGGAGTTCAAGCTACTTTGAAAAGGGCTCATCTGAAAATTGGAAAAGGAAAAAAATTCAGCTTTGCTAAGAAAGGCCTTTCCAAGCTGCCCACTGCGAGCCAGTAATCTGGAGTCTCTAAGGGCTGTGATTGCAGAACTTTCTACTCCACGCTGAAGTTAGTGCAAGCAGAGGCAGGGAGGTGAGAGACCTAACAGGAGAGAAGGCTGGGTCCAACTTCAGCCCTAACACCCTCCCCACCTTGTCCTATGAAAGAGTTACCTTCCTGCCTTAAAGTGGGCCATCAGCTCCCTCCAGAAGGTGCAGGGAGGACGTGGCTTAGGGCCAAGCATCAAATATTTATCACTTCCCCACGTTGCCCCACCTGTGCAGGGGCCAAGATGGGGGCAGAGGTCTCTCAGCAGAGGGCTAGGAGGTGGGGTGAAGGGGTGACTGCAGTATGGAGGCCCGTGCTAGGAAGCACACATTCCCAACCCCAGTTAAAATGCAAAATATGTGATGGACAAGCTCTCTGCTTCTGGTTATCTAGCCCATGGAATTGCTGTGAAGCAAAGAGATCAGAAACCTACCATCATTAGAAGGGCGTTACTTTGCCAAGGAAACCACAAGCCCAGCCCAAAACGGCTCTTTGATTGCTCAACACCTAAGGAAACCCCAGGCTCCTGGCTCACATGGGCAGAAGGTAGGCAGTGCCCAGAAAAGGACTCCTCCCCTGTGCACATCTCAGATGAGTCCAGGGAGGACATTCCCCAGGGAGGTCAGCCAGAGGGGCTGACAAAAGATCTCAGCCACATCTCAGACTCTGAATGCCCTATACCCTGGTTGACAATGCAATTCTCCTTCTCCCTTTTCCCTCAAGGGGTCTTTGTTCTGTTTGCTCTACTTGCTCACAATACTTGTCTTTAGAAAATGTTGGGCATGGTTGAGCTTCTCCTTTGGCTTTGGATTGCCAAACCTTTAGAAAGAGTTCAGTGTGAACGAGCAGATTTTGTTTGTCTTGAGATGCTGGAAGCCAATAGAGAAACAGTGACAGCTTGGCTTCTTTAGGAACGAAGGCTGTTCCTCCCATTCTCTGGATAGCGCCTTCACACTTCTTATGGGTGTGGGGGGTTGGGGATGGGGCCCCTCATAATGGAAGGGGATTGTAAAATGTTGCCTGCAAGGAGCTTTGTGTGTGTGTGTGTGTGTGTGTGATATGAATGCCTCGGGCGAAAGGACTCGTTCATTGCATTGCCCTCATTAGATAGAAGCCATATGGCATCATGTCTCTTATGACTGGCCAAGCTGAGCTCTGTCTTCTGTGTCAACTAGGAATCCCAACCAGGAAGTGGTTCCAATGGATGGAATATCGCCCATCAAAGGGTAGTTAAGATGAGACTGGAGAGGTAAGCAATACCTGCTCACTGAAAAATAAGTCAGATAAAAAGGAAGTACAGAAAATAAAAAGTCCCCATTCCTAAGAATAATAATGATAATACTCCCATTTCCTCTAAGAAACCACAGTTAGCTATTTGATATGTATCTTTCCATATATTTGCCTTTGTAAATACATATACACATCTGGCTTTTAAAAATACAAACAAAAATAATATCATTCTATACATATAGTCCTGTAGCATGCACGGAGAGTATATATGCATATACTAATGTAAACACATATACCTTTTGCACATAATGTGTGGGCACTTTCCATGGATATAGACGTGTGTTATCCTTTTTACTGACTGTGGAATATCCCACTGATGGGCGTCTCGATCTGCTGCTCATTTAATCCTTTACCGATGGTTGTTTCCTGTTTACAAATCGTGCTGCCAAGAAGATCCTTGTGCCTATATAGTCCTGTCCTTTGGTAGTGTTGCTACAAAATAGATTCCTAGAAATGGAATCGGGGCAAATGGTATCTAGGTTTTAATGTTTGCTTACCAGTAGTATTTAATTATACTCTAAAGAATTTGATCACTACAATTCTCAACTAATTTTGGATAGAAAAATTAGATTATTTTACACAAAACAAAATAATCATGGCTCATGAAGATGAATACATGTTTGGTTTTCACATGAGTCTTTTGAATTTCTCTTCCTGCTGTAAAAAGGACTTTAGCTCAGTGTACATTTCTTGTGGTTATCACTAACACTCAGGAAATTCATCTGCTCAATAACTCAGCTTTCACAGTGAACTTCTAAACAGAATCCTGCTCCGCATGTAGGATAACATGCATGTGGAACAGCTGGTAAACTTGGTAGGAATATCAATTCCTGGGTCCACACCTAAAGATTCTGATGTGAGTGGCTTAAACCATCATTGCTTGTGATAGGGGTACAGGTGGACTGGGGTTCGGGAAACACCTTGGCTAGTGGTTAAGAGTAAAGTCTGTAGTTACATCAAAGTCTAGTTTTGGAACTCAATTGTACCATTTACTTTCTCTGTGATCTTGGCCAAGTTGCTTAACCTCTCTGAGACACAGCCCCAGTTTACTCTTCTGTCAAATAAGGATGTTAATAGTACTTAAGCTGTACTATTTCATTGTGAAGATCAGATGGACACTGCATAAAAAGCACTCAGCCTAGAGTAAGTCTCAAATATGTTAGCAATTAAGAAAGCTCGATTTAATCGTAAATATGTACTACAAATTCTCTTCCTAATAGTATCGACTGGAGTAGCCACTTTTCCTAGAACACGTACATTGTGATTTGATTGATAGAATATGCATAATTTCAGTGATCCGGAAATGGGTGTCCAGCGTAAAGCAGTGTCTCTGGGGCAGCCCTTTCCGTTTCTCCTAATTTCCCTCCATTTCCCATCTTCCTGTTCTTTGCCTTTTATTCCTGTCAGCCAGTGATTCTGATTTGCCAGATAAACAAAACCAAACTCAATGCCAGTTTCCTTTTTAAAAGACCATCTTTATTATTTCTCCGGGCTGAACGCAGCCCCGGACAGAAACATCGAATACACATTTGTCAGCCTGGTGGCTTTGGTGCCACCTCTGCCTAGAACAAACTGATGACAGTCACTCAATTGTCACCAATCACAGTGCAAGTGAAGGGGGAAGAGAAGGGCAGTGAAGGAGGGGTCTTAGGATCTCTTGGAGCCAGCTCCAAATACAGTGTGACATTGAAAATAAATTACAACAATTAAATAGTATAAATAAGTGGAAATGTAAGACAGGAAGAGTCCCAGAGTGTGGTTGTTGGCAGCAGGCAGCCACGGGAGAGGTAGCAGTGGAGGTTACGAGGCTGTTTCTAAGGCCCAGCCCTGTGCTCCAGGCAGCCTGCCGAGGTCACTGGCCACTCAGGCGCTCAGCTCCAGGTCGGTCACGTACTCCTGGACCCAGGCCTCACTGGGGTCAGCACAGACCTGCCGGCTTCTTTTGGTTTGGAAGCTGTGGAGAGGAGTGGAAGGATTACACACTGAGGAAGCCAGCAGGGCACTCCTGGGCCCACTGGGGCACCTCCGTCCCACTCTCGGACCTGGCAGCTCAGGGCCCACCCACTTTCCCAGGGATCCTCTGTCTATCTGAGGCCAGAGGGCTGTGCTCACTGACTCAGGGAGTCCCTCAGAGGACCTTGCAGCCACTTCCTTCTTCCCCTTTCTTCCCTCTGGGCTGGGCCCAGCCCTCCCTGGCTCTGCCAGCTCCTGGCCAGGTCGGGTCACATGTTAGACCCGGGTCCTGCATGCTTGGTAGGCCCCAGGGGGCTGGGTCTCTCCAGGATGGAGCCCCTGGCCTGCCTGTGCCCTTGGGCACTGCCCCCAGCTCCACACCTCCCTGTCTCCCCAGGGATGGACAGGAAGACTGGCACTTACATGATGGCTGGCTTGGAGCACTGGCTGCTGGTCTCATAATAGTCGTTTATGAATTTGCGCGGAATCTGCCGGGAGACGTAGGAGAAGCAGCAGGCAGTTGGGGTGTCGGCACCGACTGTAGAGGAAGGAACAGAACGAGCCTGAGTCATAGTTCAGGAGAAAAGGCAAGCTCTTCAGTCTGACCCCTGAGAGGGGGAGGAAGACAGCCTTGCTCGGGCCATGGGCTGGGAGTCAAGGTCACTGGAGGGCGCTGGGCATTTTCGTGTGGAAATACCCCTGTCTGTGTCCTTGTTGCCATCTATGTCCTTCTTGCTCCTTGACTCTTTGTTTTGGACTCTCTTTCTCTGTGTGATTCAGATATCCAAACAGACTGTTCTCTTATCTCATCTCCCTTCAGGAAATTTTGTCTGGTTCAAGAATTCATACCCAAGCAAAAGAGAAGCCTTGGACGTAAGGCGTCCAAGAAACAGAGCTTTTGGGGGGACCTAGGGTGAGTTAGAAGAAGAATAACCCACTGGGAGGTAACCAGACTTGGGTTCTACCTGTTGCAAATTCATTCATTTAGGTCCCTATTTTGCCATCTGTAAAATGGGACTGCAACTCCCCTACCCCAGCCTGGCTCTCAGATCTGGGGACTAGGATAGCCAAGACCCCTTTTATAAAGATGAAAATAAAAGTCTTGTAGAGAAATGCCAAGATCTTTGGTAACCCTTTAAGAAGTTCTCTATCTTCTCTTGGGGGCTCTCAAGGCCGCAAGAAAAGATTGATGTGGTCTGACCATGGCCAGCGTGGGGACACCCGCAGCAACAACAAAGACTCACATGGTACAGAGAAGACCTGGCTGCAGAGGGCCATGGTGCAGAGGAGGACGGCAAGGGCAGCCACGGGGACCTTCATGATGCTGAGCGGATGGAGTGTGGGCCCGAGTGTCAGCAGAGCTGAGGCGGTGCTGGGCACTTGTTGCTGCCTGCGCCCTTCTGAAGTGCGAAGCCATCTCCCCTGCTCTTTATAGGCGGCCCTGGCTGATGGGGAAATGGAATCCGGGGGTGAGAAGGAAAATTTTTAAGTATATTTGTGCTGTCATGCTGAGTGTTGCACAACTCAGGGTCCCCCACGACCACAAGGACTCAGGATATCCAAGAATAGCTTTTCTGAGCTATATGTTTCAGCCTGCAACTCAGACTTGTTCTGGTTTCTTGTGAGGAAATGGTTTCCCCCGTGAGCAGGAGGAGAGGGGTGTGTGTCGACCCAGGGCTATTCTTAGCTGGTCCCTTCCCATAAGAACTGATCTGTGTGTGCATGAACTCCCCAGCCCCCTCCTTCCTACAGAGCCAAAACTTCTGGGCTTCCTCAGCTGCTCTCTTCTTCCACACGGATGGGGTAGAGGTCATGTCGCCTTGGAGGGTGGCACGAGCCTGCCTTGGATGCCAGGAACCGAATTAAGGCGTCCCTGCTGGAGGACTAGGAGGATGAGGTCACATTTCCGTCCTGTCATCAAACACTCACTGAGTGCTTAGGGGCACCGGGTTAAACACTAACTGAGGATCAAAGATACATTAGACATGGGTGTTAATATGTCAGGAGCCTAAAAATATTTATACCCGTTTGAATCGAGAAAATGCATTTCTAGGAAACAGTTCTAAAGAAACAAACCCAAATATGGAGGCATCTTCAACCCTAAAGATGTCTGACTCAGCATCATCTGTAACTCTAAAATAAGGAAACCTAAATTTTCCTCCATCAGGTAATGATAAAGTAAATTACGGTATATAAACTGGATTGTTTGTTATTAAGCCCTTTAACTGAGTGAAGTGAAGTAGCAGAAATATAATCATAACATCAGTTGTAAAAAAGAGATGAAAAATGGTACAAGAGGAAGACTTGTACTAGTATATATGTGTATATACACACGTATATGACAAATATTATAACTATAGATATAGTTTATTTATATATAAACACTAGGCATAGAAAAATAGAAAGTATTGGAAATAAATGCCCCAAAGCATCAATAGTACTTATATTTGTGTGATAGATCTGTGGGTGATTAATTTTCTTGTTTTCCTCTTTTTCCAGAGTTTTTCCGTCTTCTTTTTAAAGTGACAATATTACTTTCCTGGTCAGCCCACAAATTACAAACACATTTTGCTTTAAAACATTTACAACAACACCAGTTAGAAAGTAGGTTGTTGTCAACTGTTTAATCTGAAAGGAATTTTTGATAAATTTACTGAAGTTTGCGTCCAGCAGCCTTTGCTAAAGTGAAGTCTTGATTTCCATTTCTTTGAACTACTTTAAGGAACCTGTATGATATTTGCATAAATAATGCCACATTCAAAGCAGTTTTCTTATTCTTTTCAATTCATAGTTTCAGTGGTGTGAAAGGTCAACTTTTTCAGCCAGATTATGTTCTTTTTCCTTTTCCATCCTTTATTATTTGATTATTACATAATTAATAAGCATAAATCACATTTTGTAAAGAGAAATGGACTTGGTTCTTTTTTATGGGCTTTGTCCTCTCGATGCCCCAGTCTAGGAGGAGCAGGTAGAGTGTATAAACAGGTGCCCTCAGCACTTTGCAGAATGTGCTGATTCCTAGGAGAGAAATAAATGAAAGCTCGGAACACCAAGAGGAGGGAGCAATGACCTCCCTTGGGAGGATAGTGGAAAGCTTCACGGAAAGGATGGAACTTTGGTTGGATCTCGAAAGCTACACAGGATTTGCACATGTAGAGATGGGTGGCAGTAGAGGTCCAGCTGGTGCAGAGTCACAGGTGTGAAACTGCTGGCTCAGAGGGAGGGGTGAGTAGTTCAGTGTAGCTACAGAATGCTGGAACAAACATGGATGATGAAGCTAACTTAGGGCCACACCGGGAGGGCCTTGAATTCCCCCCAAAAGGAGCTAGAACAGTGGAGGAAGTAGGACATAAGCAAGGAGAGCTCCCATCTTAGGAATTCTGTCCTTCCTGTGTCTGCAGCATTACTTCTCTTAAAACATATGGGCTGTGTTTCCATCCCATCCACGTGATTGCTGATGCTGGTCACAAGGGAGGTGAAGCCAAGGCCAGATCAGGGGCAATGGCTGGTTTTCCTGGGGCTGTAGCATCCAGGTGTCTTCCCTTGTCGCTGTCAATTCCAAAAAAGGACTCTCAATCACTTGTTTCCTCGGAAACTCCAGATCACAGACAGCGCCTCCTCCTCACCCCACCCCCTCTTCCCCAGCCCCCCAGTGATGCCCTGCGTTTCATTCCCTCATTCTCTTCTTGGGGAACCCCCTCCACGCTCGTGATTCAGTTTCTGAGTGCTGGCGTCTAGGAGTTGGGCAGGGTAAGAAGGAGGAAATGGAAACTGCTGAATCAATCACTTTTCTGATAATGGACCTAACTGTCTACTTCCCTGATTACAGCTTTACCACATTCTAATAATAATAATAATAAGTTATTTATGTGATTTTCACCTCAAAAATTTAGATTATGTCCTGTTGATTTTAAACCCAATTCATACTATGTCTTCTTGGTTGATTTAAACCAAATCCTAGCACATGATGATTATCACATGGTGAGTTGTCTGAAACAGTCTCTATTTCGTATAATTTTGTTCTTTTCAATAATGGTGCTTTATCGAAAATAAAATTCTACCTTAGTGTTTATATATTTGTAAGACTTTCCATATCAATCCGAAACCCAGAAAATAGCCCTTTATCATATGTGTTTTTCCTGGATTGGAAAACAACAGACTTGTATGCAAAGTCTGCGCTTAACATGCCTACGTTGAATTTGAATAACATGAGGAGCCTCAGGACAGTCGAGGTGGAAGGGTCTTAGTAAGTAGGTGGTGAAGTGATCTCCCCAGGTGAAATGACTCGCCTGGATCACACAGAGGGAATCGATCACTTTTATTCCGCTGTCTCCATTATTTAGCATTGTTATCTCCAACGATAACCACAATGCCTGACGTGTAGTGGAGCTTTATAAATATGTGGTAAATGGATGAATAAATCACTGACTTCACTAAAAGTATGTGTTATATCCCAAGTCCCACTACGGAGTTGAAAAAGGTCTTAATCTTTGGGGGACAGCCCAAGGTCTCTAAGGTAGTGGTGACAAAAGTAGCCAGCAGTCGACATGGTGGACCCTCCAGCATGAAGACACTTGATTTGTGTCCTAGCTTTCTGGCTCATTCTAGTCCCCACTTCAGTCCAGCAGAACATCTTAGCCACAAGTACAGGGAATCCTGGCTGAACAATTCATGTTCGGCAGCATCTCTGCCGTGTCCTGCTCTGCCTGCCTCCTCACTGCCTCCCATGCCCTGGCCCTGCTGGACTGGTTTCCTTCCAGTCTCTGGCCCTGCAGCTCCGTTTCCCCAGGCATCAATCTCAGCTCTCTCCCTTCGGCAGCAGTGGCCCCATGGATAGGATCACTGATAATGATGTCCTTGTTTGGTGCAGCTTCTGCCTCCTTTTTTCAGGTGTGGTCCACAGAGTCAGGTTGGAGCAGGCTTGGCCCCGCTTTTCCTGTAAGGTGGAGACAGTATCCTGGGGACCCCTTTCTAGCATCCTAGAGAGACAATGGCTCCTTGATGCAGCCCCTTCTTTCTGCAGCCAGGCCCTTTCCTATCTTGAGTTCTTGTCATTCTCCTCTGGCCACTTTTTGGTGTGTGCAGCAGATCAGGGCATACATCCTGGTGTTGCATTAGACCCCTCCCCTGTCTCCCTGCTCCTCCTTCTGTATTCTCTACTCAGTAAAAAGCATCCCCTCCTACCCAGCTTTGAAGCCAGAATCCTGGGAGTCACCCTTGACTCACCCCTCCCACTCACCTCCTACATCTTTTCAATCACTGACTCGACTGTGTATTTGAAATTAAGTGTGTCTACTTCTCACCATTCCCACTGCCACTGTCATAGGTCAGGCCCTCATCATTTCTTGCCATGGCACCTCTCAGGGTGTCCTGTCAACTGTTTCTTCTTCCAGTTTTGCCTTTCTTCACTCTGTCCTGTCACACAGCATCCAAAGTGATTTTGCTGAAGCTCAAATCGGTCTCTGTCTTCTGCATTGTTTACAGCATGAAATGGAAGCTTCTCCCCTGTGACCTGACCCCTGCCTACTTCTTTGGCCTCATCTCTTGCTGTGTTCACGTTTCATGGAAACCGAGACTCAGCCTTCTGAACTACACGCGGTTCCTTAAGAGTGCAGATCTCTTCTCTGCTGTTTATGAATGACGTGTCAACTTGACAAAGCAGAATGTCCCCTTTGTATAAATCCCAGGGCAGAGTGAAACACTATAAGCACGGGGACATCCCGTGACAGCCACAGAGATTAAGATTCAGGTCACATAGGGGCCGGCACTGTGGCCTAGCAGTTAAGTTTGGCATGCTCCACTTTGGTGGCCCGGGTTTGGTTCCTGGACGTGGACCTACACCACTCATTGGTGGCCATGCTGTGGTGGCAACTCACATACAAAATACAGGAAGATTGGTACAGATGTTAGCTGAGGGCGAATTCTTCCTCAAGCAAAAAAAAAAAAAAAAAGATTTAGAACAAATAAGGAAAATTACTATTTAATTCTCTTAATTTTCTAAGGAGAAGAGAAAAATCCATAGATTTCACTGTTCAAAGACATGCAAAATGCAAAAGTGAAAGATTTGATTTTACATCATAATAACAGAAATTTGGCTGTTAAGCTTTTAACATAAATTTGTAATAAGCACGTTTTCCTTTTCTGATTTACTTTCATTCTGGAGCCAAACCTCCTTGGTGTCATTTCCAAATCTATTATGTATTAGCTGTGAGTTCTTCTATAGGTTACTCACCTCTCTGTGCTTCAGTTTCCTTACGTGTGAAAGGGGATAGTAATAGTGCCTATATCAGAGGATTGCTGTGAGGATTAAATACACTGATATCTATAATAGGATTAGAATGTTACTGGCTCATAGTAAATGTTAATTACTACTTTTTTTTTTTTTTTGGCTGAGGAAGATTCGCCCTGAGCTAACATCTGTGCCAATCTTCCTCTATTTTTTGTACTCACCACTACAGCATGGTTGGTGAGTGGAGTAGATCCATGCCTGGGATCCAAACCTGCAAACCTGGGCCACTGAAGCAGAGCGCACAGAACTTTAACCACTCAACCACGGGGCCGGGCCCTACTATAATCATTATTAGT